GGAGAGTCTTGCAGGTTTTTGTGGATAGTTTCTTTTATTTGACTAAAACTATAGTCACATAAAATATTTCTGTTCTTTCGGACTTCATTTCTTCCAGGGAGAAATGCAGCAACTTCGAGAAAAGCTTGCTATAACAGAGCGTACTGCAAAATCTGAAGCTCAGTTGAAAGTAATAATCTGATATTGACAATTAGCATTCTATTGTCTATGTTGATGTTGCTGCTTCTGAAATAAGAGCCTTTTTTTCTTTACTTGCCAGGAGAAATGTCAATTGCGTCTTAGAGTTCTAGAAGAGCTTGAGAGGAGGATCTTCTAATAGTACTAATCGCAATACATCAAATGGAAGAAGCAATGGGCCTTCTAGGCGTCAGTCTCTTGGTGAAGCTGATAGCTTCTTAAAATTTGCATCCAATGGGTTTCTATCCAAGAGACCTACGAGCTCTCAACTGAGATCCTCTTTGTCTTCTAGTACAGTGTTGAAGCATGCTAAAGGAACATCAAAGTCATTTGACGGAGGAACAAGATCATTAGACAGCCAAAATGCTTGTAAATGGAACAGGCTCAAATACTTCATTCAACCAGCCTTCTGAAAGAACCAAGGAGGGCACCAAATAAAGAAAATCCTGATGATTTCCAGACAGTTGACAAAGAGGATATATTCCAGGAGCTTTGTATGATTTGCTGCAGAAAGAGGTCATGGCTTTGAGGAAAGCTGGTCATGAGAAAGATCAAAGCCTTAATAAAGATGATGCAATTGAGGTTAATACTCGTGTTCCTTCAACTCTGCCTTTTTATTTACCCTTCTGGATAATGCTCTAGTAATCCTCGTATTTTTCAGATGATCGCTAAGAAGGTGGAAACATTGACAAAGGCAATGGAAGTTGAGGCTAAAAAGATGAGAAGAGAAGTAGCTGCTATGGAGAAGAGGTTACTGCCATGCGTGTAGAGAAAGGACATGAAAATAGGGCCAAGCGGATTGGTAACTCAAAGGGATCTGCAGCTCAGCTGCTTTCTGGAAGGTGTTTTTTATATGTGGTTGTACAGATTTTAATGTTCCTCATTTCCCTAAACTGGTTAAATTAGTATCTGTAGTTGATTGCATTTGTCCTTTACAGGTTGTGGGTTTAGGGTCATGGTCACCTGTCTGTTCAACCCTTCACGTGCTTGCATTTTCTTTTTGCCTTGAATTTCAAAGTTAGCCCTAAATTTACATGTGATAAAATGAGATAGGTTTCTAATAGACAAAATTACTATCCCATTCATGGGCTCCATCTTAGGAGTAGATATGGGACATGTGACCTTGTTGGCCCAAGCTTTCTGAGGATCAAATTGAAGTGGTAGTGTTTATTGTCATCTATCATATCAAATTAATGCCTTTTCATTTTCCCATTTTCTTGGGGGAAAAAAAGTATGGAGCATATCTTCACTCCTTGTCAAACTTTTTTCTGATTTCCTATTCTGTCCTTGGCAAAAGGGGGAGGATGGTCCGGTGAAGCGAGTGAAGTAGTAAAAGCTAATAAGTATACATGTTCACTGCGTTTTATACTGTATAAGGCCAGGGTGTGCTTTGCGAGATTTTATATAGATTTTACTGGGAGTTGTTACACAATCATTCTAGTGATAATCTTCCTGGTTAAAACTCCGAGTATGTATCAATTTATTTCTTGTTTTGCCTATCTTCTCTTTGTTCACTGCAGTTGATCAGCTTTTGAGAATGTGCATAGCTAGATATTCTATAGATTTTACCAGTGATTGTCACTAACATTCTAAAGATATCGTATAGAGTGTGCATTGCATGACAATATGGATTACTGGGAGTGATCAGTTCTAATTTATCCACATTGTTAAATCATTTTTCTTTTCTGCCTAACATGTAAATGTCACCATGCTAGTTTACTTCTTGTTGGTTTCAGCTAACAAGTTCTGAAATTTATGCAGAAATGCATCTCAGAGTGGGTTAACACGCAGCACTCAATGACAACAATGTTTAATTCCAGAAGCCTTAGGAGTAAATTTGCATCAGGATCTAAGGGGGTCCCTTTTTTTATCATATATATATTTAAATGTTTTTTTTACCTCGCACTTGCATGCCGATTAACCTACGTTCATCGACATCAGCAAAGAGAAGAAATCAGTAATGCTTTCAAGTTCTGACATAGATTGCTTATTTTCCTATGTGTAGAGATGAGTGAAAAACGAAACAGATTAAAGGAACTATCGACTGTGGGCTAACCTTTCTTTTGAGTTGCCAATGGTTGTGCGGTTGTATAGGTAGGTCTCGATTCATCCTCCATCTTTCTTTTTACTTTTCTCGATGTTCATATTTGTAATCTGCAGTTAGTGTGATTTGTCTTTCAAGTTTGTTAATATTATTGTAACCATATCAGATCTGTGGTTTGAGTTATTCATTAATAGCTAGTTACTTTTGGTCATAAATCTAGAATGAATGACAATGGAGTTTATCTCTTTGGCTGTTTTCTTTGGATGCTTACATTTTCTTTATAATTTTGGGAACTACTTTACAGGGAAAAATGTTAATGTACATTGATTAGAGATCCTACAATATGTGCAATCATTATTTCTTCATGTTAAAATAGTGTTAAGAGATATAAAATTTTGGGTAAACTACATCAGATACCATCGAACTTTGGGTGTTGCATTATTTATACCACTGAACTTTTAGTTTTATTAATGATAATATTGAATTTTGATTTTTTTTTTAATTATACCATTAAATCGTTAATGCCATGGTGATGTGACTGATGGTTGTTGACGTAGACAACTCGCCAAATCGATGTAGTTTTGATCTGATTGTTAATAATTTAATAGCTTAGTGATATAATTGAAACGAAAATCTTTTCAATTTTTTCACTGAACTTAATACATTGGTTTTTTTTGTTATTTAGATGTTTTCTCACTAACGGCGTTGTAAATGAACTTTTATATTGATGCAAAACGACGTCGTTTTGGTGAAAACTTTGTTTTTTTTAAATGACATTGTTTTAACGCCGTTAACTATTTAACAATAGAGTGATAAAAAAAATTCAATGTATTAAGTTAAATGAGAAAATTGAAAAGTTTTAAAGTTCAATGAGTAAAATAGGAGAGAAAGTAAAGTTTAATGATGAAATTTATAATTTACTCATAATTAAAAAAGTATATCTGTTTCTTTATAGATGTTGGGTCGAAAACTTAACAATAATATTGAATGAATTAGACGAGGAACTAAGCTGACGTTTGGTTGGATGAAATCCCTTGGAATTGGTGGGAATTGGAATCCAATTTCACCACTTTCTCATGTTTGGTTCAAGTTTTCAAGGGAATTGGAATCCCTGATGGAATTTAATTCCATCAAATGAGGGAAAGTGAATTCCATAAAAAAATATGGAATTCAATTCCCTTGTTGGAGGGAATTGAAATTTGACCATACTACCCTCATCAATCTTTTGGTAACTTATTCATATATTAAATAAAAATATTTTTTTTATTATTTCGGGTCGGGTCGGGTTTCTAATTCATATATTCGGGTCGGGTCAAGTGAAACTTATTTTGGTCGGGTTAAAGGTGAAAAAAACCAGATCGACCCGAAAATATATATAATTTAGGTCGGGTCGGGTTAAGTCGCTGTTTTTATTAAATAAAAATAATTTTTTATTATTTCGGGTTGGGTCGGGTTGGATTTCTAATTCATATATTCGGGTTGGGTCGGATGAAATTTTATTTTGTTCGGGTCGGGTGTTTTAAGTATGATATTCGGGTCGAGTCGGTTCGTGTTTTTTAAGTGTGATATTCGGGTCGGGTCGGGTTCGGGTTTAGGGTGAAAAAACCGGACCGACCCGAAAATATATAATTCGGGTCGGGTCGGATTAAGTCAATGTTTTTATTAAATAAAAATAATTTTTTATTATTTCGGGTCGGGTCGGATTTCTAATTCATATATTCGGGTCGGGTCAGATGAAACTTTATTTTGTTCGGGTCGGGTCGAGTTTTTTAAGTGTGATAGTCGGGTCGGGTTTTTTTAAGTGTGATATTCTGGTCAAGTCGGGTTCGGTTTAGGGTGAAAAAAACCGGATCGACCCGAAAAATATATATAATTTTTCCTTATATATTTAGGAATAATTACAATAATACCCCTCTATATATAATTTTTTTCAATTAAGTTAATATTTTTATTGAATAAATTTTTTTATTATTATTTTGAGTCGTGTCGGGTCGAGTTTCTAATTCATATATTAAATAAAAATAGTTTTTGGTATATTTTTTGGTAACTAATTAACATACTCCGATTGGAATGTATTGAAATATTGCTCTATCTTTTGGTAACTTATTAACATATTATGATTGCGATGATTTTAACTTATAATGTTTATTAGCATGATTTTTATAATTTATTGAAATGAATAATCAATCAATAAAATGAAAATTTAATATTTTTTAATTTTTTATAATATATTACTACATGTAAGTTGTAAAATAAACTAAAATAAAGCAAAAAAAAACAAGAAGGACAATTTTTTCATTTTACATTAATGAAATCAAATTCATCTGACATGTCTGCGAACCAAACAGAATATGAAATTGGATTCCAATTCCATTTCCTGCCAACCAAACATAATATGAAATTGGATTCCAATTCCTAAATATTCTAATTCCTTCACAGATTCTAATTCCCTCATAAACATTCCAGCGAACCAAACGCCACCTAAGATTTTCACGTAAGAAATGGTATAAGGATTTAATTTTGTAAAAAAATATAATATGAGAATTAAATTTTAATTTTTAAAATAATATAGGGACCTTCTACGTATTTAAACCTTTAGCTTTAAAAAAACTAGTACAGATAAATATGAATACTCCTCCATGCAAAGCATCACTTCCGTTAAAATCGTTATTCGGTTTATTCTCTTCTTCTTTCCCGTTTCAAAACTTCATTTCCAATTTTTCTGATCCGACGTACGAACATACATTTCGATCCAAATCCTCAATTATTCTGGTGAAAAATGGCGACAATGACGAGCTTAATTGGGCTGATAAACAAAATCCAAAGAGCGTGCACCGTCCTTGGCGATCATGGCGGCCAAGGAATGTCTCTCTGGGAAGTTCTCCCTTCTGTTGCTGTTGTTGGTGGCCAGGTCAAATTTCATATTAAATCCATGTGTTTAATTTTATTTAATTTTTCATTTTTCATTTTTACACATTTTTTAATGGAAGATTAGAGCTCTGGGAAATCTTCGGTTCTGGAGAGCATTGTAGGAAGGGATTTCTTACCTCGAGGATCTGGTAAATTTTCGTGTCTTTTCCTGGGATTTTGAATTCTAATAATCGAGTGAAAAATAAGAAACAAAAAAATACTTCGATGTTGGAATTATAATGCAGTGTTATTACTTATTAGTTTAGTTAAATTTATGATTTGAAAGGTGTTATGAATCGTGATTATTTTGGATTAAATTGACACCTACCCCTGTGCTATGTGAAGCTAGTTGTGTATGCTTCTTTCAAAATCAAATTTCTGTTTTATTTTTTTCTTGCACTACAAGGCATTGTTACGCGGAGGTCATTGGTGTTGCAACTTCATCAGATAGAATCTGGGACTGAATATGCAGAGTTTCTTCATGCACCAAGGAAGAGGTTCACTGATTTTGGTATTTTGTTCAATTGTGATGCTCACTCATTTTGACATTTTACTTGGTTGTCTACTGATGTTCTCAAAATTATCCTTTCCATTTTCTAGTTCTTAGTTTATCTTCTCCATATAATGATTGTGCTCCATATTCATCCAGCTTTTTGTTTTCCTTTCATTAATCATTACTTTTCATGTTCTTATTTATCGAAATTCAGGTGATTATTACATTAATTATTAATGAGAATACTGTTTATGCAGCTGCCGTTCGTAAGGAGATTTCAGATGAAACAGATCGAATAACTGGGAAGACGAAGCAAATCTCTAATGTTCCAATTCACTTGAGCATATATTCTCCACATGGTCTGCACTTTTGCCTCCCTCTTAACTGTACAATGAATGCAAGTTATTCATTAAGCAAGAATGGTGAAAAACTAAAAATCATGAAAGATTTTATGATGCTTTTGCTAATATTAAGTTTTATGAACACTCTTTTGACATACCCTCACCAAGCCAATATGTCGACTCTTGTCAAATTCTGTATTGATGACTAATATGTTTGGTTTTGTTTGGCAGTTGTCAACTTAACACTCATAGATCTTCCTGGGTTGACAAAGGTTGCTGTAGGTAATAACAAAAGTTTATTTCTTTTTTAACAAGCTAAGATTTGATCTCCCTCTAAGCATGCAAGAAAAGGATTAATCTATTGCTTTTGCAGAAGGACAGTCAGAGACTATAGTCTCGGATATTGAGAACATGGTTCGTTCTTACGTTGAAAAGGTGAGTTGCTTGACTTTCCGATATCCGATCTAACTATATAGGATAGGATTTTGCGAAGGCCCATTATGAGATCGATTCTCCCAACTCAGTTTACTCCATTCACAAATGTCATATTCGAACTTGGGTTTTAATACCATGTTAAACATCCAATTTTAAACTGATTGGTAGCAGGTGGAGGGGCCCAATTCTAGTATAAGACAAACAAGAAGCCTATTATTTAGCACATGTAGGATAGCACCATGGCTCAAAGAGCCAAAAAATGGATTTTCCATGTGGGAAAAAGATGCTGGAACATAAACAATAAAGAACAAGTAACATAATTTGGGAAATAAACCACATTTGTCTTTTGGAAACATACTATGCCTTCAACCTGAAAGCAACTGGTTTTAGTTTTGGCCTTAATGTCTATTGGCCTTAGTTTAGTATCTCTTGTATCTTCATTACGTTCCTTATTCAGTTTCTGCTTGAAATTTTCAAATTTTGTAGCCTAACTGCATCATATTGGCTATTTCACCTGCTAATCAAGACATTGCCACTTCCGATGCCATAAAACTTGCAAGAGACGTGGATCCATCAGGTATTCTAAAAACTAGCTTTATGTACATATAAACTTTTAAGCATCGTTATGCAATATGAATTGTCCAATGAGCAAGTCAGTTTACCTTTTTATAATATTTTCAGGTGAAAGAACTTTTGGGGTGGTAACGAAACTTGATCTCATGGACAAGGGAACAAATGCTGTGGATGTATGTATTTAATCATACATACTGCATCAGTTGCTCAGTCATAGAATGATTGCATATCATCTGCAGCAAACGTTAAATGTAGATAGCAGTTTAGACAAAATCCTTCCCAGGGGCATTGAACATTACCATATAAGTCCATGGTTTTTTCCATATCTGCTTATTGCCTGATGTGTTCATTTTAAAACTAATTCTTTAATCTTATTTTTCTTTTGGATGTGGTATATATTTACATATAGTTGTATTGCATTGGTGCATCATTTTGCTCAGTCATAGAATGATTGCATATCATCTGCAGCAAACGTTAAATGTAGATAGCAGTTTAGACAAATCCTTCCCAGGGGCATTGAACATTACCATATAAGTCCATGGTTTTTTCCATATCTGCTTATTGCCTGATGTGTTCATTTTAAAACTAATTCTTTAATCTTATTTTTCTTTTGGATGTGGTATATATTTACATATAGTTGTATTGCATTGGTGCATCATTATATAAGATGTAAATCAGTCAGAAAAACTCCAATGTAGTTGATATAAATCTTTCAGGTTCTTGAAGGCAGGGCATACAGGCTTCAACATCCTTGGGTTGGAGTTGTGAATCGTTCTCAAGCTGACATAAATAAGAATGTTGATATGATTTTTGCACGCCGAAAAGAGCGTGAATATTTTGAAACAAGCCTTGATTATGGACACTTAGCGAGTAGAATGGGATCAGAGTATCTTGCAAAACTATTGTCTGAGGTCCTTTTCTGGTTTTGTTTAGTTGTGTGTTAATTTTAAATATTAATAACTCACAAAAAGCTTTAGACATCTAACTAAACGAGTCCTTATCTTTATGTTTTAATTTTCTCTTGCAGCATTTAGAGCTTGTTATCCGGCAGCGCATACCAAGCATCATTGCCTTAATAAATAAGACCATTGATGAGCTCAATGCAGAGTTGGACCGCATTGGCAGACCTGTTGCGGCTGATGGAGCGGTAACAGCGTAGATCTTTCGGAAACGGTTTGCTTAAGTTGTTAATGGATACTTCCTCTGTCAAGTTCACGCTAATTGTGTTAAATGTATGTACAGGCCCAGTTATATACAATTTTAGAACTCTGCCGTGCATTTGACCGTGTCTTCAAAGAGCACCTGGATGGAGGGTAAGGGTGAAGTGCATAAATTTTTTACTCTTTTAGTACTTAGAATTGAAACTTCTGCAATGGTTCTGTCAATAATTCTTATATTTAAAGCTAGTTCATTATTTCCTATTCCAACAATGTGGTTAACTATGCCATTTCCGGTAGTATAATTCTAAAAACAGTAAATTGCTGCTTCAGGCGACCCGGTGGGGATAGGATATTTGGAGTTTTTGACAACCAATTACCGGCTGCTTTGAAGAAGCTACCGTTTGATCGCTATCTTTCATTAAAGAATGTCCAAAAGGTTGTGACAGAGGCTGATGGATACCAGCCACATTTGATTGCTCCAGAACAAGGATACAGAAGGCTCATCGAGGGTGCTATCAGCTATTTCAAAGGGCCAGCTGAAGCCTCCGTGGATGCTGTAATGTTCATACTTGTGCTTTCAATTCTTGGTTATGAACTTATTATAGATGCAAACAGCAATTTCTTTTACTTCGAATAAACATGCTTATATCGGACTGCTGAATGTTGCATGCTTTGATCTTCAGGTGCACTTTGTATTGAAAGAGCTTGTAAGGAAGTCGATAGCTGAAACACAGGTAAATAGTTCTTTATGCACTACTTTTTATTTGCTAACTACTGAAATTTGTCACGTTAAAGTTGACCTTCATATCCACTACATTTTCTTTGTGAGATGATTCTAAGTTCTAACAACTAGTAGGATGAACTGTGGATAATATGCAACTTCAATGCACCTGCAGGAACTGAAGCGATTTCCGACGCTTCAAACTGACATAGCTACCGCTGCAAATGAAGCATTGGAAAAATTCCGAGACGAAAGCCGGAAAACAGTGTTACGGTTGGTGGAGATGGAATCCAGTTACTTGACGGCCGATTTTTTCCGGAAGCTTAATGCGGAACCGGAAAAGATTACCGGGAAGAAGTCTAGTGCAGAAGCAGAGAAGAATGCAAAAACAGAATCGCCCTCCGGTGAACGTTTGAGTGAAAGTTACCTCAGAAGGATTGGTATATGATTTCTTTTCTTTCTTTTTTTTTTAAAACTCAAACTGACACTTACTTGGACATGATAAATTGACACTTGAAGAAGATGAAAAAAGCAAATAAAAATTGAAACACATTACCTGTTTCTTGGCTCAGGGGGAGGCTAAGAGGTCACTGCTGAGCAACTTTTATGCTCAAGTAGGAAGGAGAGAGGTACGTACAATTTGTTTTACAATTTTACATTTTCGAAATACAATATTATCTTTCAAATTTTAAATTATTAATAATTAATAAAAATGTTTATGCCGGACACTGTCGGGGCTAGTAACCATTTGTTGTTGACTAATCACCGAAAGGTGCATATTAAATGCACCGAAAAAAAATGAGTTGTTTTGTTGATTTTTTGGACAATGGCTAAATCAAAATTTAGTCATTAAACTTTAGGGTATTTATAAATTAGTCCTTAGTTTTCAACTATAAATACCCTAGCTCATTTAGCTTCAAAATCATCCCAAAGCATTCTAGCTTTCTTCCAATATTAGAGAGATTTTAGAGAGTTTCTTGATAGTTGTTTTTTTTCCTTTTTATCTAAGAGAATTATCATTGTTTCTCCTTGGTAGATCGAGAGAGGTTTAATTCCTATTTTCTCATAGTGAAATTCTTCTACTGTTGCCCGTGGTTTTTACCCTAAATTTTTAGGGGTTTCCACGTAAATTTTGTGTCTCTTTTATCTTCAATTTTATTTTCTCAATTATCATTGCGATTTTGCTCTATCCGATAGCCGTCTCCGCAACAATTGGTATCAGAGTTAGATTAGAGTGTGTAATATCTGCTTATTGTCTTTGTGGTTGCCACCAAAAGGTGGATCCTCCAACATAAGAAAGTAAGAAGGTATTACCCATTCTTTGAAGGTTCCAGAGAACTATTCACGATAGTGAAATAGTGGGAGCTATCCGTAATAGAAGCTATGAAAACGAAATTTGATATTGAAAAATTCAATAGGAAATTTCTCACTGTGGAAATTGAGGATGAAGGCCATCCTGAGAAAAGACGGGTGTCTAGCGGCTATCAATGAAAGGCCGGTGAATTTCGCAGATGACAACAAATGGAACGAGATGGACGGAAATGCTATGGCAAACTTTCATCTAGCATTAGCAATGAAGTATTGTCAAGTATCGAGGAGAAGAAACAGCTAAGGAGATATGTGATCATCTTACAAATTGTACGAGGCCACATCGTTGCACAATAAAATTTCCTTAAAAGGAATTGTACACTCTCCGTATGCCAGAATCTACTTCAGTGACAGAGCACTTAAATACACTGAACACCTTATTTTCTCACTTACATCCTTAAGCTGTAAATAAGAGAACAAGAACGTGCTGAACTTCTACTTCAAGTCTACGGATTCGTATGATCAACTCATCATCAACTTGACAAACAATAATGTCACCAGACTAGTCTTCGATGACGTTGCAGCTGCTGTTCTACAAGAAGAAATCGGCGCAAGAACAAGGAAGACGGACAAGTAAATCTGCAACAAGCAGAGGCATTGACAACGATGAGAGGAGATCAACAGAACGTGGCCAAAGCAGCAGTCACAAACATGGTAGATAGTCGAGAAGCAAGAAGAATTTAAAGTGCTACCACTGTGGAATAAGGGTCACTTGAAGAAGGATTGTTGGAGTCTCAATAAAAAGTCCAATCCACAGGCAGTACCGCAAACACTTCAGATGATGGAGATGCTCTATGCTGTGAAGCGTCAACCACCGTGGAAGGAAGAAAACGATTTGCAATATATGGCTCATTGATTCATGAGCAACATATCACATGACCTCAAGAAGAGAATGGTTCCATCATTATGAACCTGTCTCAGGAGGATCTGTTTATAGTTGCAATGATCATGCCTTAGATATCGTTGGCGTGAGAACCATCAAATTGAAGATGTATGATGGAACAATTAAAGTGTTTGAGATGTCGGCACGTGAAAGGCCTGAAGAAAAATTTATTATCCTACGATTGTTGGATAATAATGCAAGCAGATTGAAACACAAAAAGGAATCATGAAGGTGTTCCGTGGAGCGCTTGTGGTGCTGAAAGGCGAAAAGATAGCTGCAAACTTGTACATGCTGAAGGAGAGACTTTGCTAGAAGCAGAAGCCTCTCTGTTGCCTCATGTAGTTCAGATTCTGCAATGCTATCATAAGAAACTTGGACACATGTCAGAACAAGGAATGAAAGTCCTTGTGGAGCAAAAGCTACTTCCCAGCTTAACAAATGTATCACTTCCTTTGTGTGAGCAATGTAACAATAAGCAACACCGGTTAAAATTCAACACATCAAATTCTAGAGGCAAAGTGTTCTAGAATTGGTTAACTCTGACGTATGGCAAGCACCGGTCACATCCCTAGGCGGAGCAAAATACTTTGTCTCATTTATTGATGACTACTCCCAGGAGATGTTGGTGTACCCTATTAAGAAGAAGTCAGATGTTTTGCAACTTTCAAAAACTTCAAAGCGCGAGTGGAACTTGATTCTGGAAATAAGATCAAGTGTTTCAGAACAGATAATGGAGGAGAATACACAAGCGAAGAATTTGATGACTTTTGCAAGAAGAAGGCATCAAAAGACAGTTCACAGTGGCGAACACGTCAACAAAGTGGCAGAGCGGATGAATAGAACCTTGTTAGAAAGAACACGAGCAATGTTGAGGGATGCAGGCCTAGAAAATCATTCTGGGCAGAAGCAGTCAATACCGCCTGTTATTTGGTGAATCGAGCTCTATCAACTGCAATAGAGCTGAAGAAAAATGGAGATGTACTGGTAAACCAGCTGATTATTCAAACCTCCATATTTGGAAGTATTGTGTACGTGATACAACTCCCAAGAAATCTCAAAGCTGGATCCAAAATCCAGGAAATGCAAATTCTTGGGGTATGTTTGATGGAGTCAAGGGGTATCGCTTGTGGGATCCCACTGCCCGCAAAGTGATCATTAGCAGGGATGTTATCTTTGTAGAAGATAAGCTACAAAAGAAGACGATGATAGCGCTGAAAAGTCAGACTACACATATACATGTGGAAAAAGAGGTTGAACAAGGATTCTTCTAAAGCAGAACCATCATATGATGAACAAGAACCAGAGAGTTCTGAAACTCCAACAACTCGTCAATCAGATCGTGTGAGAAGACGTCCCAATTGGCACTCAGATTATGTTATAGAAGGTAATATTGCATACTGCCTTTTAACAGAGGACGGTGAGCCATCAACTACTGCCTTTTAACAGAGGACGTGAGCCATCAACATACCAAGAGGCAATAAACAGCTCAGATGTTTTCACTATGGATGATGGCGATGCAAGAGGAAATCGAAGCCCTTCATAAAATAATACATGGGACCTTGTGCCACTACCACAAGGAAGGAAGCCAATTGGTAACAAATGGGTCTTCAAAATCAAGCGAAATGGTGACGATCAAGTTGAAAAGTATCGTGCAAGATTGGTGGTCAAAGGATATGCTCAAAAAGAAGGTATTGATTTCAATGAAATATTTTCTCCCGTGGTTCGACTAACAACAGTTCGAGTAGTTTTGGAAATGTGTGCTACATTGAACTTACATCTAGAGCAATTAGATGTTAAAACAGCTTTTCTTCATGGAAATTTGAAGAGAGATTTACATGCTCCAGCCTGAAGATTTGAAGAAAAAGAAAGAGAACTTGGTTTGTAGGTTGAACAAATCTCTGTACGATCTAAAGCAGGCGCCGAGGTGTTGGTATAAGATTTGATTCCTTCATTATGTGCCTTGGATACAGACTTAATGCAACCCTTGTGCTTATTTTAAGAGGTCTGGTGATAACGATTTTATTATATTGCTGTTGTATGTGGACGACATGTTGGTTGCAGGACCCAACAAAGATCATATTGAAGAATTGAAGGCACAACTAGCTAGGGAATTTGAAATGAAGGACTTGGGATCATCAAACAAGATTCTAGGGATGCAAATTCACCGAGACAGAAGTAATAGGAAGATTTGGCTTTCACAAAAGATTTACTTGAAGAAGATCTTGTCACGATTCACCATGCAAGATTGTAAGCCAATTTCTACCCCTCTTCCTATTAACTTCAAATTATCCTCCAGTATGAGTCCTAACAGTGAAGAAGAGAGGATGGAGATGTCTCGAGTACCGTATGCATCAGCAGTGAGAAGTTTAATGTTCGCTATGATATGCACAAGACCAGACATTGCACAAGCAGTGGGAGTGGTTAGTCGGTACATGGCGAATCCAGGCAAAGAGCATTGGAATACAGTGAAGAGGATCCTGAGATACATCAAAGGGACCTCAAACGTTGCATTATGTTACGGAGGATTAAACTTACTAATCAATGATTATGTAGATTCTGACTATGCAGGGGATTTGGATAAAAGCAAATCTACTACAGGATATGTGTTTAAAATTGCTGGTGGAGCTGTAAGTTGGGTTTCAAAATTGCAGTCAGTCGTGGCTACGTCCACAACAGAGGCAGAATATGTAGCAGCTACACAAGCCAGTAAAGAAGCAATTTGGTTGAAGATGCTATTGGAGGAGCTTGGGCACAATCAAGAGTATGTTTCTCTGTTTTGTGATAGTCAAAGCGCCTTGCATCTAGCAAGGAATCCAGCATTTCATTCAAAGACAAAGCACATACGAGTTCAATACCATTTCATTCGTGAAAAGGTGGAAGAAGGGACGGTAGATATGCAGAAGATTCATACCAAAGACAGCATAGCAGATTTCATGACGAAGGCGATCAATACCGATAAATTACTTGGTGTCGATCCTCTTGGCCTGTCAGAGACGTAAGCAACATGATGGTACAAGGTAGAAAGAATGGTGTGAAGTATGATTGTTCCAATCAAATCTTCAAGTGGGAGATTGTTGACTAGCACCGAAAGGTGCATATTAAATGCACCGAAAAAAATGAGTTGTTTTGTTGATTTTTTGGACAATGGCTAAATCAAAATTTAGTTATTAAACTTTAGGGTATTTACAAATTAGTCTTTAGTTTTCAACTATAAATACCCTAGCTCATTTAGCTTCAAAATCATCCCAAAGCATTCTAGCTTTCTTCCAATACTAGAGATTTAGAGAGTTCTTGAGATTGTTTTCTCCTTTTATCTAGAGAGAATTATCATTGTTTTCTCCTTGGTAGATCGAGAGGTTGTAATTTCTATTTTCTCATAGTGAAATTCTTCTACCGTTGGGTGTTTTTACCCTAAAATTTTAAGGGTTTTCCACTAAATTTGTGCCTCTTTATCTTCAATTTTATTTTCTCAAATTATCAGTTGCGATTTTGCTCTATTCGATAGCCGTCTTCCGCAACATTTGTCTCAGTGTCGGATATAATATAAATAAGGGTAAATTACAAGTTTAGTATCTGAACGATTAATTTTGGTCTGTTTTAGTACCTAAACTTTCAATTTTTTAAAGTCATATCTAAAGTTTAGTTTTTGTTTCATTTTAGTATCCGTGCAAAATTCAACGTTAAATTTTGAAAAAAAAATTAAAACTTTAGGTTTAAAACGAACGAATAAATTTTGAAAAAAAATTAAAACTTTAGGTATTAAAACGAACGAAACTGATAGTTTATTATTAAACGTATTAAGGTTTTAACGATAGAATATTAAATGAATGAGCAAACTTAAGTATGATTTAAGAAAATTGAAAATTTAAATACTATAACATATCAAAACCGACTAAATGTGTAGCTTACCCTATTAATAATTAAGAAAAATGTTGGTGATGTTTATGCAGAAGGAACGACTGAGTGCAATGCTGGATGAAGACCCTCAACTGATGGAAAGGCGAATGCAACTTGCCAAGCGTCTGGAGCTTTACAAATCCGCAAGAGATGACATTGATTTAGTCGCATGGAAATGAATATGATTCTTCAGATACGCCACATCTTCTCCCTTTTTTTTTATTTTTTTGGATTATATTAATTTGCAGATATTATTATTATTATTATTATTATTATTATTATTATTATAATGATAACGACATTTAAAAATCATATAAAATTTTTAACCGATAAGATTTCTGATAATCCGATTCAATAGAATGGTGGTGAAGATTGAATATTTTGTTTCTTAGCATTTCCCTTTGTCCACGATTTAGTTCAATGTTTATTAGTTTTGGTGATATATAGCTCATATGCGTAGAGATGGCAATTTAACTCAAAATCTACATTTCTAATTTGAGGTGATAAGATCGGATTCTTTTAAAATCATAATTTAGATTTAAATCGGATCATATTTATACTTTAAAAATACGAATCAAATCATAGTTGAGTTGATGATATTTTTTTTTGAGTCGGGTTAAATAAAGGATATAGAATTTTTAGATCAGACCTAATTTGAGTCGATAATACATATTTTATGGTTCAGATTGGATTGACAAAAAACCTGATCGACCCTAACCCAAGCTATCCCTTCATATGCACCATTATTAAATTTGGACATCAAAATTATCATCATTCTCCAATTTATTTATGGGTTAAAACTAAATGTAACTGTTTTAAATCAATAATCACTTACGGCGGATCCACCTTTCGTTTAGGATGGACAAGTATCCATCTTCAAATCTGAATTTTTTTTTGAGTACTTATCTATTTTATTAATTGTGTCTATTCTGAATTTAATTCTTTAATTTTGTGTCCAATCATTTTATATTGTTAACATATGTATGCCCTCAAAAATATTTTTGGATTCGTTCATTGATTATCGATAATTTTATTATTATAATCAAAACACTGAATATAAAAAATTAAAAATAGAAGTATAAGATGAATGGCATATGTATACGGACCAAACAGAATGCACCCAGACCAAGCATGTCAACGTGAAGTTCAGTGAAATATTGTCAAAGAAATCACCTTAGATATATTGTTCGAAGAAATATCGTGATGATCGACGAGTTTAAGTTCCGAGTCATGAGTCCGAGTCTTGCCTGCTCGCTAAGCACAACTCGTGTAGTTCATTAAGTACCCATTCCTCGCCGGTGCGTCCACCTAATACCAAGACCCTAGTCCCCCCGACAACACAAGTACTGTGACCCCAAGCAAGTTTCGGTGGTTGCCCGGGAACATTGAGAGTCCTCCATGACGGTTTCTCGTCTGAAGGATCGAGAAGGAAGAGCGAGAGAGTGCAACCCAGCAATTGACCGCCAAATATAGTTATCCTCCCGCAAGGCAGCTAACCGCAACGTGATCGAGTCGAGGAGGATGTATGACGACATTTTGGTTACTGATGCTGTTGAAAGCACTACAGTCCAGTTGCCTCCACTGTGGTTCTTTGTCCTCCAAATCGATAGTGTAGGCTTCACCCGATCGGAGTTGCAAGTTCCCACTCTTTGCGAGCCCTCCAACATAGAATTTAGTACTACTGTAAACCGAAAGTGAATGGCCCAACCTAGATGGAGGTGTCCATGTTGTTCGAATCTCTTTCCATATTGGTTTTTCAGTAGTGAGATCCAAGAGGTAAGTGTCACTTAGTAGCACCCCGGCATCTGCACACCCACCAGAAACAACCAACTTAGAACCATCGATCGTGCACGAGTGCCAAGATCTCGGGAGAGGGCTTCCCCACATACTTCTTTCCATGTAGGTTGCTTCGCATCCAAGTCGGAACAAAGACATCGTTGAGCAATCCTTGCCTTCCACACCCTCCAAATAACACCAACCATGACCCATTCAGGCACGAGAGTGTGTGGCCCCAACGCCCTGGAGGGGAAGATTCCACGCTCACCTGTTGCCACTCTGGATTTGAATCATCAAGGTCGAGAACAAATGTGTCATTCATTGGCTTCTTATTGACTCCCTCCCCTCCAAAAAGCACAAGTCGGTTCCCTGCTGCACATGCGCTAAAGTTGCAACGGAAGGCTCCACTGCACCTCTGACTGTCAGTTTCTTCAACAACTGCCTCAAGAGTAGTCAGTTCTCGGGTAAGACGTCCCCACCCCAACTTCTTAGTCATCGTTTCCAATGTACCGGTGACTTCTCGTCCCCAAGCATTTTGGCATACCATCTTCCTCACAGCTCGTTTTTTTAGTCGGCGTACCCTTCTGCAGACTGACCCAATAGAAGCAACATCCCTTGGTGTCAACCGGGTTAAAATGTTATGAGCCAAGACTTCATCGGAGAGTTGAAGTATCCCACACATTTCGTGATGATAAATGATCGATGGATTTCCGGTCAAATGAGAGCATTTGGCTGACTTATCCAACTGCTGATCACAAGTCTCTTTGAAAACCGGATATGATACATGGTTCAGATTCAGTTTTGCATCAGAAAAGACTTGAATACCGATAACGTGTGTGACAATACCATCATCATCATGTATAGGTGTAAGTTTTAATGTGTTCACGAATGGAGTGCCATCCTTCCTGAAATTCACAAGTTCACCTTGGAATTCAGTACCTTCTTCAAGACATCTCCGTATCTCGGAAACAACGAAAGGATCTACCAAAGGGTGCCGTCTTTGAGCACATCTATCTCTGTACTGTAGAAATCGACTAAAACAAAACAAAACAAAACAAATAAAACATCACACGAAGGAAGCATATATGGAGTATTGCTCTAGGGCATATTGAACAAATCGGTTAATATGGCATCTCAACACAAGTTATTTGATAGTCATAAAAGAGTAGACAATTATTGCAAATTTGTTAAACTGCTAATTTGAATCAAGCCAAAAAACTTGTTAAAAGTATCTCAAATTTCTATATATGATCTATTAGAGTTTGGTTAGATCAATTAATCCGTGAATTTGATAATTAGAATCTAGTTGGCGCGGTGACTTTCACGCACAATTATGAGTCCGGATCATAGCCATACTTTATCAGATAAACAGTCACTCCTTATTTTAATCAATATTGGTCACAGAAACTTACAATAACAAATAAAACTCCGTGAATAGTCAACTTTCTGCTAAAATTACTCCCACAACAGATCTGCAAATCTTATGCTAAAACCTAAAACTATATCCACATCGGAATTCAATTTTCTTCCTTCTTACTTACGTCTCATCATCAAACATTATTAGAGATAAAAAGAATAGCAGAAATCAAGATACGTTACCAGTTCCGGCCAAGGACTTCATCGCACGATAACCGTGAAACCTCGAAGACTTTGTTGACATAAATGAGGGGAAAATCAGGTTCAAGAGCATCGGAAACAACGAAAGAAGTCGGAATTGTAGGGTAAGACAATAGCCTTGGCTTCAAAGGAAGCTCGCTTTTTCCTTCTTTTTCTTCTTCCCTTCCTTCAAGCTTTTCTTCTTCTTCATCTTTCGGGAAACGATTCCGTTTTCCACTGCTTAGCTTTACTTCTTCTACTTTTAACATTTTTGCTTCTTTCTTTTCTCTTCTCGCCCTGTTTCTATGGGAATGTTGCTGGCTTTACTTCTCCCACGCTTCAAGCTTTGTTTTACTATGTACGAGATATTTATGTTTTGGATATTTATTACCCAAAATGCCCTTGTCTGCCTAACATATTTGCGATTTTAGGTAAACTACTTAGACCACTAATCATCAAAATTTTAAAATTGATATAATTATATTATTAAATTTTAGATGTCATATCATTTAATTTTAAATTTTTTATTTAAAATTAGTATAAGCTTGTATTTTCTCATATTTTAAATTAAAATAGGACTACAACAAAAATTAATTTAAAATTCAATGATAAAATTAATAAATATATTAAAATTTAATGATATTGGAAATAATTTATTTAAAAAATAATTTAAAATTTAAATATAAATATAATTAGCTCAAAATATGGCCAATTGAAAGCATATCCCAATTTTAATTAAAAATTAATCTGAAATCTAAATTAGTTTTTATTTTACAACGTTGCAATGAGATGCATTTTATGTTTATTTTAAATTATTTTCAAGCTAATAAATTTACTTAATGATTATTGTAACAATATTATTTTTGAGAGAAAAATGGGTATAATTTGCTTTGTCTTTATTTGTTGGGGAATATTTAATTTTATTTTTAAGATTTAATAAACTTTCCCCCAATTAACCCGTGCTTTTTAATCGAAAAGGAAGTGGCAATTTTGTAATTAAACGAGAATCAAGTGGCAAGAGAGAAGAGTGGAAGTCCACGTCGGAATAGTGGAAAACACGTGTCGAAGTGAAATCCAATAAAAAAAATATCTGAGCCGATCCTGCCACCTCATCCTTGTTCGCTAATACATGCATACATCTAAAAAACGAAGATATTTAAAATATATATTTATTTTTCAAAAGAATATATATTTATTTTTGGCTAAATACATATTTGATCCTTGTACTTTGATGAAATTAACGCTTAAACCTTTTTACTATTTTTTAAGTCAATTTAGAACTTGATATTAACTATCAAAACAAAGATGAAGATTATGTTATTCAGATTTAAAAATGAGTCTATTAATATAGATAATTCTTGATTTTTGGATTCCATAATGGTATCAATTGGTTTGTTGATAACGTATACGCACTCTGTACACGTAGTTACTCGAACCTAAGTTCACTAGAAAAATAACATTCTTTTTAAAAAAATTATGTGTCACTTAATGGTAGACACGTAAAAGTATAAAAAAAATTAAACATCTATTTTTTTTAAAAAAAAATTCTTTACGCACAAGTCAAACTTAGGTACAATTTGAGTATTGAACTTTGTATCAAGCCTAGTCTTAATATCTTATATATTAAATTTCACTTATAATTTTATTAAAATATAATAATATATATATATATATATGAAATAATATTTTTGTAATTGTATTGGGAGGTGATAAAATTTTCTTTAACCCAACCTAAAACTCAAATTTTATATAAAATATCTGATCAGATAGAAATTTGTCGGATAGAGTTTTATAAGGATAAATTACGTGTTTAATACT